GACTTTTGAAGGACTTGGAGGAAGAAGAGATGGTTCTACTGCTTGAAAGGCTAGAGGTACAGGGGTGGAAGGACATGGTCCTTCAGTTAGATGGCAGACTGGCTAGAAATGAGATTATTGAATTCATGGTAAATGCTGAGGTAAAGGATGGAAGGGTCACCAGCCTGGTGAAGGGGGTTCAAATTTCCTTTGATGCAAAAGAGTTGGGTGAGATCCTTAGTATACCTTTTGAAGGTTATGATGATTACACGAGGCAAAAATGGCATGTCTGGACTCCCTTCCTACTGCCCTAGCCATTACTAGGAAATTCTGTGATAGTAAGGAAGTAAGTGCCCCAAAGGTTGTTTATAAAAGTGAAATGAAGCCTCCCCACAAGGTATTGTTTGAATTCGTCATCAAGTGTGTGCTGCCTAGGAAGGAAAGAAGGCACATTGCCAACTACATGGATTGGTTTTGATGGAATGTCTGGATGGTGGGCGGCAGATCAACTGGCCTGGGTTTATAATCAAGCTTCTAGATCGGGTTATCAATGGCTCCAAGGCCCATACCACTCCTTATGGTTTCATTCTCACTACTGTTCTTGCTCATTGCAAGGTGCCTCTGAAAAGGTGGGAGGTGGCCACAAGCAAAGACCATTTTGGAATCAAAACTCTGCTTGCTTGTGATTATGAGATCACTGTCATTCCCAATGAACCTGGTTCATCTAAAAAGACACCTATAAATAGCAAGGTCAGAGCTCTATTGCAGGAGAGTGGGGCAAAGGATGCTGAGATAGCAAGGCTGAAGACTCATTTGGCTGAGGTAGAATCTGAGAGAGATGCTCTTAGAACTGAGCTCACAAAGGAAAAGGAGAAGAATGATGGAATTCTTCAAGACATGCTGCACCTTCTCCAAGCCAAAACCCAAACCCCAGTTCTTCCAAGCCTTAATTTCTTAAGCCATGCCTAGAACTTTTAGTGACCCAGATTAGGGATGTTTTTTGTTGCTTATGTTTTAACTGTTTTTGTTTCTTCTTGTGGATTGTGGCAGAATTATATTCTCTATCAATGAAGTTTGCTGCTTTTGCTCTTATTAACTATTAATATTTCCTTGATAGTTTGAATGTGTAGTTGATTACTGATGATTAATCCATGAATGCATTTGCAGTTGCCCTAGTGGCCATGAGTAATTTTTAAAAATCTGGGAATCACACATTTTTTATGCAACTTTTCGATGATGCCAAAAGGGGGAAAAGAAATTGGGCTTTATATTCTGAACATTGATATTTATAACCTAATGAACCTGGTCCTTGATGATAAGTGAAAAATATTTCTAACATTGCATTGATGTTGAGCTGAGTTCTAGCAGGGCCTAAGTTTATGAAAAGCACAGAGTTTGTCATCATCAAAAAGGGGGAATTTGTTGGCCCAAGTAACGGTTAGTTTTGAAGACTGACAAAGGAACTCAGACATGAACCAGGTCCATCCCAGTGGAGCACAGATGTGGATAGACTTGAGCATGTAGGATGCGCATGAAGGAAATAAACCTAACTGTACAGATTTGATATCTCCTGATCCTGATCGAAAAGGTTGCATAATTGAAAGGAGAAAGACTCCTTACTCAAAGAGAGCACGGTTTAAGAAAGGGAAGGAGTTAGAGGTTGAGATCAACTAGAACTCTTCCACCAAGGAAGAGTGGATTCATAATTCTAGTCAATCTCTATTTACTAACTCTATAAATATCAGTGTTGTTCTCTTTTACAGGTAACACATATAAGCAGAAGTCAAACGTGAATTGAGAGCAAAATAGTAAGGCAATTTTGCAAGCAGTTCGTGTGTGATTCAAGTGTGCAAACCTGAAGCTACATGAACCAGCTAGAAGAACCAATTCCAAGTGTCTGTCTTTTAGTCTAGTTAAATTGTAGTAGGTGATTTTATATTGTACCTTTCAGCTTTATCTAGAGGCAATTGTAATAGGTACTCAGAGTCTTCAAGTTAGAGTTAACTTGAAGTTGTCGCAACAATTAGATGTTGTGTGCTACAACGGGATTAGAGTTAGTCCTATGTTTACAAAAGAGTTTTTGTAAATACAGTTTTTGGCTCAGTGATTTTAGTGGAGAGTTTGGGAAAATCCTACTGAAAAGTAGGTCGTGGTTTTTTCACCTTTTGAGCCAGGTGTTTTCCACGTAAAATACTTGTGTTCTTTACTTTCCGTATTTACTATTTCTGCAATAATAGGTTAAGGAACACATAGAAGAACCAGGTCCTTCCACAATCAGTTTAAGCAAAAAATTGATCACCATAAAAATCTCCCCCCCCCCTGTGTAGTATTGAAGTATAAAACATCAATAAAAATACTAGATAATTTCTTCTCATCCGTCCAAGTCTTGATGGATTAGAGTTATCTAATACTTGTTGCTGGTGCGATGTAGCAGCTATCCCGTAGAATTAGTTGAGCGCACATTGGACTGGACAAAAAAAATTGAAATGTAAATTCTTACAATTGCGACTACTTGAAATTTATAGCATATTTGGACAAACTTCTCCAAAGGCCAAAAGTATTTTTTTCTCTCAACTTACAGTATTTGGCCGAGTTTTTTTTTTTTTGGGTGGGGGGTAGGGGGTAGGGGGGAGTGCTTTTGAGAAGAAGCAGAAGCAGTTTCGGAGAAGCAAAAAAAAGTAGCTTCTCTCCAGAAGCAGAAGCAGAAGCATAAGCAATTTTGACTTTTCTTCTTACAAAAAAAACCCTTAACAAAATATAGTATATACCAAAATAACATTACTTATTTTAAACTTAATACTTAGGATATTAATGTATAAATATTTTTTCTTATTTTTAGGATAACTTTCTAATATATAGCAACTTAAAGAGCAAATATTTTTATATTTATTAAATAATATTTTAATATATTTAAATCATCTTAAAAGAATTAAAGTACTTTTTAATTTTATTTTTATATTTTACTTAAATAAATAAAAATATTTATTTATTATCTTTAATAATAAGTTTTTAAGATTATTTATTTACTTATAATATTAATTATTAAGTAAAATCTATTCATGTTCTTATTTGTAATTTGATACTTAAAAGCAACTTTTGAAAAGCTTGATCAAATACAAATTATTGCTCAATAGTACTTTTCAGATTGATTAGCCAAACACAACTTATTCTCTCCAAAAATATTTTTCCCAAAAGCACTTTTGAAAAATGTACTTTCCAAAAATAGGCGATTTTTCTAGCTTGGCCATGAGTAATGTATAATAACTAAGAAAAATTAAATATTATACAGTAGTTATTCTTTGAAAAAAGACTCTTAAGACTATCTGACTCCCCAATTAGTCAGATTAGATACTGGATTAGCTCAGTCATTTTCAGAAGCTGGCCTGTGGGCACACGTGCAGTGCGACAGATGAAGAATGACAAACTCTGCCTCTTTGGTTTTGATGACTCTGATCGATCTAAGTTGTCACAACTTCCTCCCAAGTTGGCCTTTCCTAATTTGTTTCTGATTTTATAGGTTACATTCATCGCCATTGTTAATCAGAACCAGTTATCAACTCATTTTCCAGGTATATATGCTTTTGTACTTACCCTCCTTTTTCGTTTTATGGCTATTTGCATAGGTCATTACTACTATTTATTGCTTGAATTTTGTTTCCCCATTCGTCCCCATGCAAGAAGAAAACATTATGGTTGAAAATTGAAAATCATTATTACCGGTGCTTACCTCAAATACATGTGTTTGGTAATTTGTATAATATGCTTTGGGAACTTTCTCATTTAGTCAAGAACTCAGAAGGGTCTTTTTATTATATGCTGCAGAAAGTGAGGCTTTTGATTAATGTACTTGGTCATGTTGGTGAACACTAGCCATGAAATGTTTTGGTCCTGTTTATTGTCGTTCTCATTCTTTATATTAATTATTGTTTTCCTTGTACATCCGTCTATGGTGGGTGAAAATTAACCTTGTCAAGGGAATGGATGCATTGCATCTATGTTTGATGGGGCTTTGCGATCAGCTCTTTTTTTTTTTTTTTTTTTTTTTTTTTTTTTTTTTT